CTACCGTCTACAGATTTGAGCTCGGAAACATCACAGGAGAAAATGGCTTGAGAACCAAGCCTTCGGCAATTAGAGCCCTCAGCACTATAGGCCCCCGGTACTAGGAGCCTTCGGACGGTCACCTACGGCCGAAGGCATCCTCTTCGACAGAATCTCCTCTCCACATGCGCTGAATCGCCGCACCAGGTACAAATGTCACATCCAACCACCGCATTTAATGCGGCCACATGCGAGTGCCAGTGCCACCCCGGTTGAGGTGACCCCTCGACCACCAGAATGCTGACACGTGTCCCTATCTAACATTTATTATTACTATAAATAGTAGCCCCTTTCCCCATTGTAAACCACGCCTTGAATACATAACTCATATATTCGAATTTACTCTCTCTTACTTATTTGCTCTGACATCTCTCTAAGTTACTCCTCGCAATAACCCCTCAGATAAGCTACCCCCCGGGTACACTATCCATCAGTACCTCTTTTCAGAACTTTTTCCACATTCATACACACTCGTATTCTCATATAGGCCTCCCACTTTTCACTATTCTGATTATCATCGTATTTTATATACTTTCCTATAAAATTTCCAACTTTCCTGGCCGTACCTAAATTAACCAAACTATAAGGCACATTATGAACCTGGACCCAGAAATCAGCCTCATTCAGAACAATTTTGTGAGGAATATCATCAGGTTTAACCTCTTTTAATAACAATAATTTTTTCTCAAATTGCCATGGTCCTCCATTCAAAACACGATTCATATCTAATCGGTGATAAAAAGTAAACAGATACCTTTTCTCCCCGACTTCTTTGACTGATAGGCCTTTACCTGGTCTCCATAGCGACGCTAACATCTCCTTGATCACCGGAAATCGGACCTTTCGGTCCGTCAGCAGCACCCTGACCACAGGGAAGCTCGACCTGTTTTCCTCCTTCGGCACCTCGCCCGCCTCCGTATCGTCGAGATCCAGATCTTCCTCCTCCTCCGCCAAAGCCATATGTCTGTACTTGTCCACCACGCTTTCCATACAGTCGCCCATGCTCCCTCTTTTACTCGGTAAACACGATCACTTAAACCAACTCCCAAAATGAACCAAAGCTTGCGCTTCCAAATCGTTCGAAACCAACTTGCCGAATGAATCAAAATCCCAACAGGTAAGCACTGATGCTTCGAGAGCGAAGCTCGGCAACAGAAACCTCGCTTGGCACGGTCTCCTGGCGCTGGCCTGGTTGAAGCCGGCGACGGCGGAAAATCCTAGGCGTTACCGGTGGGTAACCCTAGAGAGAGTGTTTTTATATAGTGTTGGTAAAGATTTTAAAAAGTGCACATGTGCAATCTTTAATTATCATACAATCACATACCATAATTGATGGATATTATTAGGTTATTCAAATGAATAATAAATGAATAGCATTTAGTACTGGCATTTAAATGAGATCTTTTTTACATAGCTTCGAAAAAGTATTTATAAGAACCTATGTAGCACCGATACGGGTACACGGAAACGCGGAAACGGGTACGGGGATACGACAAAACCAAAAAATAGTAGGATACGAATATGAAGCCATATTTATATATATTAAAAGTTATGGGGGTGTATTTATAAATATTAAAAGTTATAGGGGTATGTATTTATAAATATTAAAAATACAATTCTTTTTTGAAAAAATACACATATATTATCCCCAACGTCTACCCATTCATGGCATTGAAGCATTTTACATTTTCAAAATACTTAGATTTAAATTCATATTTTCTCATATACACTAGTGCATCTCGAAATATAAATATTGTAAATAAGTCATTAACTTAAAATGAGAAATAATTCAAACAACTACAATTTTAAAATTAAAAGTGCAGGTACTCAAAGTTCTAGAATAGTGAAGATAGACAACAATATTTTAAAAGTTCTAATACATATTTTCGTTAGAGCTATTAATTTCTAGGGATAATTAGAATTAGGGATAGGAGGAGAAGTGAATTAGGAATGGGCCCATTAGTTGTGTACCACATAAAAGCAAGATAAAAAAAATTAGCTTTTCATTTTTTTAAAATTTTATTATGTAAACTTTGGGTGTGTTTTTAAAAATGTTTTTTGGAAGATTTTTTTAAAAAAAAGTTGATACGTGTATCCGTCAGGATACGAGTATCCGAAATTTTAAATTAATTACAAAAAAATGGAAACTTTTAAAAATTACAGATACGGTCCGGGAATGTACGGTAGGGGTATCCTAGAGTATCGAATACGGGAACGTTTCTGATACGTCGATACGGTATCCTAATGACGTATCTGTGCTTCATATATAAGAACACATGAGTCGGAGATACAAAAGACAAATCTAACATGTCCCAATGAGTGTATATAGTAATATAATACTTTTTTCGTCCATTTTAGTTAGGAAACACTATTTTTCAAGTTAATAGTGTTTAAGTTTGACCAGTTATATATTGATAGAGTGGTGTTCCTGTCCAGCCGACTTGATGAGAACCGCCGTCTGGCCAAAACCATTTGAGGCCCTTCCCGGTGAAATTTTATTATGATTTTTTGAGCATATTTTTCATCAAGTCTAATTTATGCCCACGAAATTTCAGCTAAAAATCAATCGGGAAAGCAGTTAAATAAATTATTTAAGAACACTCCGTAGTTAAATATATATAGACATCGTAGTGTTTTTCAAAAAATTATTTGAATGCTTTACCGATAGGGCATAAACTACACTTGATGAAGAATATGCTCAAAAAGTTCATCAAAAAATTCCACAGGAAAGGGTTCTAAACAACATCGGCTGGATGGCGGTTTAAGTGAGGCTGGCTGGACATGAAAGATTGCCTATATTTATATGTTGGAAAAATGTGTTAAAAATTGCATTAAATGGTCATTTTGGGGCAATTATTTGAGTGGGGTCCACTTCCGATTTGGGTCGGGTCAAAGTGGTTTCGGATTGTCCTTGTTAAGGGCTACAATTCGATATATTGTACGCTCAAAACAGATAACGGGTGAATGAGAAATTGATTCTCGAAGTTCGCTCGTTGAAATGGAAAAACTGGGAAAAATGATGAGTTTCTAGTGTGTTTTATCCCACATCGAAAAACTCAAGGGATTTTCACCCCCTTATAAAGGGAAGCCTCTTTTAAGGAGTTAAGATTCCTGAAGGGAAAGGCTCTCTCTTACGCGCAGGGGGGGTGCCGATCAAATCCCGAAACGGAGAAGAAAAACTGCGACTCGTGTGCGCGGGCGACCTGCGGACACGAATGTCGTCCAAAAATCTATCTCTCAAAAGATACGGTTAATTTTTGTTTCTTCCCGAAACGTTTATTTTTTCCCAGAAGTGCTCCGGACAGAAGGCCTCGGACAGAAACCCTCCAAGGGTGTTCTGTTGGGGTCTTCTGTCGCGCACTTCTTCCGTTACAACAATTAATGCCCAACGTTCTTCTCTTTTAATGCTGCGTTAAATGGACAGTTTATGGACGATTCAATGCCCAAAGGACTGGTCATTGATGTCCAACGTTCAGGTCCATTAACATCCCATTTAACACACAACAAATCCTCCTATAAATAGCTGGCAGGTGCTTTGCAACAAACACACGGTTTGACAACGCACAACACTTTCCTCACGTTTTCTTGAGCTACAAACTCTTCCAGCTACTCCCAAAATTCCTTCTGTGTTCATACTTGGTTCTCGTTCGCTAGAACTCTTGTTTGTGTGCTCAAACATTAGTTCGTAGTCATCGTATCCTGGGAAACGATTGTTGCAACGCTCCTAGCACCGTGGGAGGCAACAAATACGTTTTAAGGAAATCGTGCGTAGCACAAGCTTTGGCTAATTCTGCTTCATCTCCTTTCTTGTTTTTCTCTAGTCATTTTATTTAATTAATTTATTTTAATTAATTTTATTTATTTTCCGAAACACACCCAACATTATATACATAAGTATTGACAATATGAAAAAGATATAAAAATGTTCTTTGTCCAAAATACTATTATAAATGTATAAAAATATTAAATTGTACATAACTATATTAGTTACAATAATTGATCAAAGTTTACCATCTTTGACTGGAAAAGTCAAAGATGACTAAGGCTATGTTTGGCAGGCATAAGTCTCTGTCTTCTAGCTTTTGTACTATTCAAAAGTCTCTAAAAGCTTCTAGTTGTATGTTTGACATTACAAATTTTAAAAGTTTTTTCAAAAATTAAAAGATCTTTTTTGAGATGCTACATGGGTAGCATTTGAGAAATAGTGTCATCAGCTTGTAAAATAGTTGGAAGAAAAGCAAAAATAATTTTTGAGATGCTACATGGAGTAAAAATTTTAAAAAAATGAAAAGCTAAAAATAATTTTTGGACTTTCCTTTTTTTTTAGAAAAGCCCGTGACTTTTAGTACGGAGTATTAATTAGTCATAACAGCTTGTATATCAAATCGAACTAAATCAATGAGTCGGCTTTTTACCAAACAATTACCATATTTTCTTTTTAATATCTTTTCGGTCACTAAAAGATAACAGTTATTAAAAAATATACAAAAATATCTTTTCAGCTAGTTGTGTCAAACCTACTCTAACTAAATTGGGACGGAGGTAGTATGTACTAAAAGTTAGTTATGCGGTATAAGGACGTTATCCAAATTCAATACTTTATTAGTTCTTCACTCTTTGAAGTATAAGTACTTGAGATATCTGCTGATCTCCATGTGTTGAAGCATAACTGGACATACTGTGAAAACTCTTTAAAAGGAATGGAAGTTTACACCTCAATTTTTAATCCAAAAATTGAGTTTGAAGCCCCTTTCAAAAACTGGTCGATATTTACTCCATAAAACTATAAAAGTTAAGAACAAACTTTACTCCACATTTTTCAGAGTTTGCATCCCATTTTAAGAGATTTTTTGGAACTCTACAATGCAAATATTAATTATATTGAAAATGGGATGTAAAGTGTAAACCCAAATTTGGATGAAGAAATGTACTACAAATTCCAACCCACTTACCCACCCCCATTTTAAAGAAGTACATGAATGTGTTTTTGCCAAATCTCATTCCCTTTACAGTTTACACCTGGTGTTATGAATTTTCAACTTAGTGTATAATACATCATTTGAAAAATGAAAAACCTCATGGAATAACATTAGAAATTCTACCCCATGCTTAATCTGCAAAAATAACAATGGCTCAAGTGATCATCCACTGGTCAATTACAATATTTACTATCTCTGCTTAGGAGCAAGTTGTATGTAGTAGTACAATATTTGGTTCCAAGTATCAGGAACCCCAGGGAGACACCAATGGCTACAATCTTGGAACTCAGAATAGTTACTTCCTTCTGACTGTCTTCTTCCATATACAGATGGGTGACCGTCTATCCTATAACCCGACAAACCCGTTATATTTAAAACGGTCACTGGTGTTTTCATCTCCTTTGTGACCTTTTCCATAATCGTATTCTTCTCAAAATAACTGTCATAACTCTCACCTTCTCTAAGGGGTCGAGAAGCTTCTCTGCAATGTCCTCCATTGTTCCATTGACCGCCACTGTAATGAGAAGGCGAAGAAGTTCGGAAAAAAACTCGGGTCTTTGCAGGGTTGATGTGTGTGTCAACCCACAATGCCCAAGTCATTAGAGCTCTTTCGTAAGCCATTAAAATATCAAGGTGTCCATGAACTTGATCACCTTCTTGGTAATAATTTATCCTGTTATTGTGATCCATTGTCAGATTCCAATATTACAGATAGAGTTGGCAATGGATCGGGTTTGGACCCATACGCTGCCCGAAACTGCCATATTTTGTATATATGGGTACAGATGTCATTTCGTTCACCCGACCCTGATCCAATACTAAGGGTCTGTTCACTACACAATAAGTTCATGTGCAAGAAGTTTTCCCAAAAGTCAATTGTGTTTTATGTACAGACTATGTTTAACACAGACAAATAGAAGGGTGAACTGGAGTTTGCAACTCCATTATTTACCAAATTTGAATCTTCAGCTCATTTTTTAGATGATCAATATATGCTCCTAAGTATGAAAAATATGTTAAAAGTGGGGTCCAGACTCCAATTTGAAATAAAAAGGAGTGTCAGCATCTGTTTTTGGGGTGCAAATATAAATGATTTTGAAAATGGGATACGGACTCAAATTGGGATGAAAAAGTGAAACTCCAATTACTTAAAAAAAAGGATACCTTCGTATCAAACTTCATCAAGAGTCATTTTGCTGATGAAAAGGGAAGTCCAGACCATATATTATCTTGGAAACATACTGAGCCTTAAATTCATCAGAATCTTTTAACGCTTATAAGTTCCGTGATCAGGCAAAATATGGAACATATTGGATTTCCTTAAAGAAGACATTTTGTTCATCGCAAAAAAAAGACATTTTGTTGATCACTAAATGCAGAAAGTAAAACATATTTACTAGTCATAATGCAGAAATGTGAATAAAAATGTATATACCCTGCTTTGGTTTTGTGATGGGACCACCAGTGAGCAGTGTTGAAGACCAGAATATCGGCACCTCTCCACCTGGATGAACCTTTGTCAATCGCATCAATACGCAAAGTCTGCCTTCGTTTCTTCCCCATCCTTACTTTGCCCTCACGTACCAAAAAATGTGTCACGTAGAATTCGACTGTACATTTATAATCCTGATAACATTTTATTCAAGATAAATAAATCACCCTAACTTGACTAAACGTAAGATGTGTTCCTATAGTCTGAATATACTATCGTGGTCACTGCGGTGTAAAACTGAAAAATCACCACGGTCACTGTAGTCACTGCAAAAGTGCTATAGAATCATGTATGTTAAAAGTCAGACTTCATTCATACTTTTACTTTTAGTCTGCTTGCCATTGTTTCTAAAGATAAAGACACAATACACCAAATTAAGACTTGATATTCATAGTTACCACAAACTTGAAGCTATAAGAGCCCTTCCCTTTGGTTATTCTTCGCCCACGGGTCTCATAAACCTTTTTTTGGTCTTTAACAGCTCCCATCAACAAGCACAACATGGATTCCCACTGGTTTCGGTTAATGGAATCACCAACAAAAACTAACCTCTTCCCTCTCATCAACTCCAACATGTGGGTAGCATTAAACCTGTAAGGATTAAGCTTGGAATCTATAACTCTTTCAGTTATTACTTCAGAACATATAACATATTGAAGGAGAAAACTGGAATCTTTCTTTACCTTGGAATATTGCAATTTTGAGGCTGCCACCTCCATTTCATGTAATCTTTATCTGTTCTTCCATTAGTTTGACAATTAAACCCTTCGTCTATGTATGGACAAGAAACATTGGTATACAAGGGATGCATCTCATCAAACACCCATTTCCCATTCGTCATATCACAAACTACTCCCCCATTCTTCTCCTCCTTTTTCTCAATCAAACTTATTTCCTTGGATAAAGTACTAGCTGAAGAGACGTTTTCTTGCTTAACATTACAATTAACAGAAGTATAAACACTCTTTCCACAGTTTTCAGAATTCTCAGATTCATTTGCAGAAAATTCAGGTGATTTTCCAAATTTCAACAAGTTGGTGTTAGCAGTAACAGTAAAATTTCCATTTACCTCACCAGCTGCGACATTCCCCTTGTTTTCTTGGGCACTTCCCAGGATTGGGTCTTTGGAACCAAGAGAGGTCTGAGCTATGAAGGGCATTGAACCCAAGCTAAGAAAGTTGGCAGTATTTAACTCAATATGGGTTTCTTGAGGAAAAGGAGAGAGCTTGATGACCCAAATGGAGAAGAAGACTAGGAATATCAGACCTAAACAGACTGTGAATGAAAATACCAAGAATCTTGTGCGCTTTATTGAGAAACTTCTCTGCTTCTCCATGCTTGTTTTTCCCTCGAATCCGAGAGTGACTAGATGGGAAGAGTAATATTCAAGAACGGCTAAGCTATATCTGGGTTAAAACCGAAAGTGCAGGATGCAGTAGGCTTTGAGAGATTCAACAAAAATGGAGAGAGCTTAACCATAATGCATAATGGGGAGGGGAGCAGTTTTATATACTCCGTACAAGCTTAACCATATTGCAGTTTCAACTTTAATTAACTAAAATGAAAATATGGTCTTGTAAAATCTATTCCAATAGATTATTTTTTAGTACTCCTTCCATCTCCAATTTTTTTTGTCAAATTTTCTTACCCCTATCCAAAAAGTTGTGTCATTTCCTTTTAAAACAACAAATTGATGATTTATACTATTTCTCACTCTTCTTCAAAAAATTAATTCATACAACTTTTATTTTATTATTCAAGTGTGAGTCAAAGTTGGTCAATCTTTATGAGTGGAAGAAAGTACTAAATAACATATTAATTGAATCGTATTTGCAATTTACAATTTTAAATGAATATGTCCTTAAAAAGTAGCAGCAATTAAAAATTAAATTCTATTCTAAAAATGTAATGGCTTGAGATATAAACAAATAAGATATTTTAGTTAAACGCGTAACTTTGAATTTCTTGTGTTGAAATGTTTAATTATCAAAATAAGTAAGTTTGAGATTACTTTTCTAACTAAAATGATAAATAGTGTTAGTATAGATGATCACTTTAACTATTTTCATACAAATTACGGAGTATAATTTTTACTTTATTTTATTAATAAAATATATTTGATTTTTTTTCATAATTCAACAACTTCAGCTAGTTAAAGCGGGATTTCATCAATTTCAACAGATTCAACCGGTTCGGCTAATTTCGGTGCATGTTATCAAATGGATCAGAGTATTATAGTGTACACTACTAACTCCTTAAAAGTATAAAGTACTAGTATCTGACCCGTGTGATGCACGGTATATAGTACCGTATATAAAAATAAACGCGAGAAAATAACTTTTGATTCATAAAATTGTTGGTGACAAATATTACAATAGTTTATTTGCTCGTTTATTGATTAAAAACTTATTCACTAACTACATTGGGGAATTCTTCAAGACACCATGAAGTATTTAACTTAGTAATAATTTCAATAAGTTGAAATGATAAATTATAGAGTATAATTTAACTTGGTAAAAATTTCAATAAAACATAATATTTTTGTTTTTAAAAAAAGTACGTTTTTAGATCTAGTTAAGTTTACATATCATAAAATCCTAATTTTGAACTTTTTGTAAAATTTTCTACGTTTTGTAAAATAAATGACTTGATGATTAATTGGGATTATTAAAAGAATAACGACTATAGTTCGGATTATTTATAGAAGTGACCTGCATAGCAGGTTATACCCGGTCATGGACCATTACTGGTGGACAAGTCATATACTATGATCATTTTTGTGTAAATACGTTTTATTTTAGTATTACATTTGAAAAATCCCATCAATAATTTGGGTCATGGTCACTCATTCTCAATTTTTAAACACAACTGACCATGACATTATATTGTAGTAACTATTAGTCATATTTGTATAAATAAGGTTTATTCTAGTACTCCTTCCATATTTTAGAGATTTCTACATTAGCTTCGGCACATTATTTCAAAAGAAAAATAGTAGAGGTAATGAATAGTATACAAAAAAATAGGAGAGAAGATGTGAAAATATGAAAGAGAAGATTAAAATTTTAAAGTAGAAAAAGAAAGGGTGGTTGAATGTTTTTTTAAGGAAAATTTACCAAAAAGGAAAAGTATTGCAAACTTTAAAATACATCCCAAAAATAAAAGTGTAGCAAACTTTGAAATATGAAGGGATTAATATTTTTTGGAAAAAATCCATCAATAATTTGGATTATTGTGAATAGACTAACACACTACAAAAAAATTCGTCTGTAGTCACGGACTTAGTCACGGACCGTAGTGTAAAAAGTCCGTGACTAACACTTTTAGTCACGGACTTCGTCCGTGACTAGTACAGTGACTAGTTCTGCGTGACTAGAATGTAGTCACGGACCAGTGGCCGTGACTAGGTGTAGTCACAGATTAGTCACGGACCGACGTCCGTGACTACATCTTGACCGGAATAAGCCTCCGGCACGTTAGTCACGGACCATATCCGTGACTACTTTTAATTTAAATTTTTTTTGAATTAGTCACGGACAAGAGCCGTGACTAAGTTCAATTTAATTTTTTTTTATTTTTGTGGTAGTCACGGACGTATCCGTGACTATATTAAATCTAAAAAAATTGAATTTATTCCGGATAAAATTTAGTCACGGATCTGATCCGTGACTAATGTTTTTGATTATAAAAAAAACAATTTTATATAAAAAAATAAAAAAACGAAAATTGAATTTATTCCGGATTAAAAAGTAGTCACGGATTAAGTCCGTGACTAATGTTTTTGATTTTAAAAAAAACAATTTTTTATAAAAAATAAAAAATTATTTTAATTTTATTTTAGAGCAATTACAATAAAAATAAATTCCATACGCTATTAAAAATAAAAATGTTATTACAGACAGAATTATAAAAACAAAAGCAATACAATGTCAAACAATATAATGTAATTACATGCCCGTACGTCGGACTCCATTGTGATAATAATTAGAATCATCGTAATCGTATTCATCATCATTATCATCATAATGACGATGATGATCCTCTTCTGCATCCACGGGGTCCAAGGGTCGGGAACTTCCTCAGCTGCCTCGGTTGCCTCCTCGATTGCCTCCTAGGTTGCTTCCTCGGTGGCTTCCTCGGTGACTTCCTCGGTGGCTTCCTCGGCTGCCTCCTCCCGATGACTGAAACTGATTGAGCATATCAGGCGACAGAGATCCAAATGTAGACCCTATTGCAGGCATGGCACCATAACCGGAGTTAGAGTGATAACCCATACCACCCATGTGCGGAACCTGAGGAGTCTGCTCAACGTGCATAATGTACGGCCGAGGATGAGGTTGAGGTGGAGGCTGATATCCAGCAAGGATCTGTTCCATCGCTTCCAGTCGGGCCCTCGTTTCTTCATCATTCTTTCGTTGTTGTTCAAATGCACGCTGCTGCTCCTCCAATTCTCGCTGCAATTGGGCAATGCGTGGATCCTCTCCTCGTATAGATTGAGAAGATGATGAAGCTCCGCTGTGTTAAATATATTGTCAAACACGTTCTTCTCAGTGTGCATGACATCTATATTGTGACGAATGAGAAGGTCTTTCCAATATGGTAACTCCCAAAAGATACTCCTCTTTGTCCACTTATGGGTATCACAAAACCCATATGGCTTCTTATTTGGTTCTTGCATAACCGTAGGAATACGTCGAACCCGGTTAAAAATTGCTTCCCCGGTCAATCTCGGGGGCGGGGTGTCTTTTACCACTCTACCTCTAATAAAAGACTTTTTGTCCCTTCGATATCGGTGGTTTTCCGGGAGAAACTTGCGGTGACAATCAAAGTAGCTTGGTTTTTTACTGAAAGCTAGCCAATTGGCACCTGATTTCTCCATGCATATCGGACATCCCATAAGACCATGTGTGCTCCATCCCGAAAGCATGCCATAGGCAGGGAAGTCGCTAATGGTCCAAATGATGGCAGCTTTCATTATGAAATTTTGATCCCTTGAAACATCATATGTTGGTGTCCCAATGGCCCAAAGTTCTTTCATCTCCTCGATAAGGGGTTGAAGATAAATGTCTATTTTTTTCCCTGGATCATTGGGACCCGGACAGATTAGAGTCAAAAAGATAAAGTGACTTTTCATGCACATGTCGGGAGGGAGATTGTAAGGAGTTAACATGACCGGCCAACATGAATAGTTCTTCCCAAACTTTCCAAATGGAGCAAATCCGTCTGAACACAATCCCAGTCGCACATTTCGTGGCTCCATTGCAAACTGAGGATGACAACGGTCAAAGTGTCTCCAAGCTTCACAGTCCGAAGGGTGAGACATCATACCCTCTTTTGTTTCGTGCTCAACATGCCATGTCATGTGTTTCGCAGTAGCAGTCGAAACGTACATCCTCTGAAGTCGTGGAGCTATTGGGAGGTAATACAGTTTAGACAATGCCGACTTATTTCGTGGTTTCTTTCTACTTTGAGGAACTGGTTTGTATCTGTTTCCACCACAGAACTTGCAGAATTCAAGTGTCTCATCATCCTTCCAGAACAACATACATCCTTTCGGGCACGCATCAATTTCTATATAAGGTAGCCCCAACTTAGACATTAATTGCTTCATGTGATAATATGAATCCGGAAGGTTATGATCACGTGGTAGCATCCCGCCTACTGACTGCAAGACTCTAGTCATGCAAGTTTCAGGGAGACTGTATTCAGCTTTTATGTTCATAAACTCTGTAACGGCGGATAGCTGAGAGTATCCCTCACAATCAGCATACAAGGGTTGATCAGCTGCTTTTAAAACATCTTGAAACCTTTCAGCTAAACCTTCATCCACATAAGGTTCATAAAATATCGGATTTTCATCCTCATGTGGTTGATACGAGGTCGAAGCTTCAGGAGGATCGTTAGATGGTTGTGGGGGGTTGAACTGAGACATCGATGCACCGTATGCGTCATATACCATACGTTGCTCCCATCTCATTTCAGCAGGGTCTCCCCACGCACTCATCTCTGCAGGGACGTTACGAGACGAACCTACAGTTTGTGGTAAAACAGATGGATCCAAAGGTTCGCCATGAGAAGTCCAATTGTAATAATTGGGAAGGAAATCGTCCGCGTACAAATCCCACCCAACTTCTTCTGGGTGTTTAAATTTGAGATTTTTACACTTTGAACATGGACATCTGATTTTATGACCACTCATATAAGCCGAATGTTCAAGTGCAAATTTAATAAACTCCTCAACTCCTTCAAGAAAATTTGATTGCATTCCGTACAATACCGCATGTTTATCGTACATCCAAATTCTATTTTGTCTATACATTATGCCTGAATATTATAATAAAAAAATTATACAGGTTAAAAACTCTAAATTATAAACATTACCAACATATTATATATGTGGAGTATTATTAATATATTAAAATCAACTAATTCTCTAAAATTCCCTTAAAATTAACTAATTCCCGTAAATTTCACTAAATTTCACTAAAATTCCCTTAAAATTAACTAATTCCCTAAAATTCCCTTAAAATTAAATAATTCCCTTAAAATTAACTAATTCCCTTAAAATTAACTAGTTTCCTTAAATTTCACTAAAATTCCCTTAAAATTAACTAATTCCCTAAAATTCCCTTAAAATTAAATAATTCCCTTAAAATTAACTAATTCCCTTAAAATTAACTAGTTTCCTTAAATTTCACTAAAATTCACTAAAATTCCCTTAAAATTAACTAATTCCCTAAAATTCCCTTAAAATTAAATAATTCCCTTAAAATTAACTAATTCCCTTAAAATTAACTAGTTTCCTTAAATTTCACTAAAATTCACTAAAATTCACTAAAATTCCCTTAAAATTAAATAATTCCCTTAAAATTAACTAATTCCCTTAAAATTAACTAGTTTCCTTAAATTTCACTAAAATTCACTAAAATTCCCTTAAAATTAACTAATTCCCTAAAATTCCCTTAAAATTAACTAATTCCCGTAAATTTCACTAAATTTCAATAAAATTCCCTTAAAATTAACTAATTCCCTAAAATTCCCTTAAAATTAAATAATTCCCTTAAAATTAACTAGTTTCCTTAAATTTCACTAAAATTCACTAAAATTCCCTTAAAATTAACTAATTCCCTAAAATTCCCTTAAAATTAAATAATTCCCTTAAAATTAACTGATTCCCTTAAAATTAACTAGTTTCCTTAAATTTCACTAAAATTCACTAAAACTCCCTTAAAATTAACTAATTCCCTAAAATTCCCTTAAAATTAACTAATTCCCGTAAATTTCACTAAATTTCACTAAAATTCCCTTAAAATTAACTAATTCCCTAAAATTCCCTTAAAATTAAATAATTCCGTTAAAATTAACTAATTCCCTTAAAATTAACTAGTTTCCTTAAATTTCACTAAAATTCACTAAAATTCCCTTAAAATTAACTAATTCCCTAAAATTAACTAATTCCCTTAAATTTCACTAAATTTCACTAAAATTTCCTTAAAATTAACTAATTCCCTAAAATTCCCTTAAAATTAACTAATTCCCTAAAATTAACTAACTCCCTTAAAATTAACTAGTTTCCTTAAATTTCACTAAAATTCACTTAAAATTAACTAATTCCCTAAAATTCCCTTAAAATTAACTACTTTCCTTAAATTTCACTAAAATTCACTAAAATTCACTTAAAATTAACTAATTCCCAAAAGTTCCCTTAAAATTAACTAATTCCCTTAAAATTAACTAATTGCCTAAAATTTCACTAAAATTCACTAAAATTCACTAAATAAAATTAACTAACGTCTAATAATTAATATTATTAAACTATAAACATGCACAATACGTTAATGACATTAATTTAATCCCCAATACTAAAATTATCAACATCTTAATCTTATTAATAATGCGCATTTAACAATTTACGTACTAAATTAAATAATATGAGCAAATTCAATAATTTGAGCATATATGTATAATAAACACATTTAAATTAAATTAACTAACCCTAATTTAAATCATTATTAATCCTAAATTAGGCCGCCTTAATTAACAATAATTGCCAATATAAAGAAATCATATACTTATATTTAATCATATATATATATAAAGTCATTTGAATTAAATAATACTTACATTTATTAACTAATATTAATAATATGCATTTAAATTATATTTAATCATATATACTTACATACGTATTTAACTAATTTACGTAATTTTAATCCTATATTTTAAAATTAATAACATATGTATTGCCAATATTATATTTAATAATATATATACTTACATATGTATTTATTAACAAATTTACATATTTAACTAATTTACAAAAAATACGTAATTCAAATTACATACCTTATCTGCAAAAACAAGAAAAAATGATATGAGATGGGTAGATTACATCCTTCAATTCTATCTGGAATTGTATCTGGAGTACGTAGAAGGTGTGTACGAATTGTCACGGACGTAGTCACGGATGTGTCCGTGACTACTTGTTTTTGTACGAATTGTCGGTGCACTTTAAATTTGGAGCGTTGAAAAAATCAATTTTGCACTTGTCACGGATTTAGTCACGGACGTGTCCGTGACTACCTGTAGTCACGGTACTAGTCACGGCTTTGTCCGTGACTAATTTCAAATTTAAAAAAAATCCCGTCGGAGGCGAAAATGGGTTGGCCGGAACACTTTAGTCACGGACTAGGTCCGTCACTACCTCTAGTCACGGACGTAGTCACGGACAAATCCGTGACTACTTTTTTTTAACGATTCCGTGACTACACCGTGATTAGAACCGTGACTAACTAGTCACGGACCAAATCCGTGACTACGGTCCGTGACCACAGGCGAATTTTTTTGTAGTGACAATATTTGAGATTTTTATTTTCAATTTTTCCGTACTATAATGAGATTAGAGCTGTAAATACGATGTATTATTAAAGTACAGATGGACATGATTGCAAAAATGCAAAGACTATATGGAGTAGATGGTAACCGAAAAAGACATGATTGTAATTTTTAAAATATAGAAACTACTCTGTAATCTATATGTACGTGTTAAGATTTATAGTACAAATATTAGTTTATTCTGTTACCAATTACATGGAGCCTAAAATAATATGGATCAAAGACAATTTAATGTTTGTGATTTCTTGAATATTTATGGAAACAATTTATATTTATATGGTATAATATAACATTTGTATAATATAAATTTTATTACTTCGAAAATATATACTAGTATAACTTTTATTGCTCCTAAAAATATTACTCCGTATTAATAATTAAATATAAAACCAAGTTATACACACACAAACCTACATACTTTTATGCAGGTATACTTTTAAATATAATTTAAATATATAACCAAGTTCTATTATATAATTAAATATATAACCAAGTTGTACGTATACTTTTATGTACATGGGTGGATGAGCGGAGAGGACGATTCGGGTGAAGTAATTGCGTGATATAATTCCCACACTCTTGATTTTCTAGAGAAAATCGCGTCAAGTGTTAAATGAACTGCGCGAAATATAATGCGGATTGAGAAGACTCAATAATGGCAGTTTTGCTTTAAACAACTCATCTATACAAATGACAAACATATCACTGTAACCAAATTTAATACGCCAAAATTTGAACTCAATACGGAAGGTTGATTGCATTTATCTTCATAAGTTTGATCAAATTTTGAAAGAAAATTTTCCACTTTTGGTCCCATGACTATTACGTCACTTTCACATTTTGTCCATAACTTCCAACTTCGCCACATCTTGTCCCATCATTTTCTCCCGTTACCATTTGTTGTCCTTTCGGCATCAGCTCCGACGACTTTAATCCCGTTTCTATTAACACGAGGTTAATTTAGTAATTTCAAGTCCTATTAACTTCTTCTACCTACCGCCATCTCCTTCTTAACTTCCCTTCATCGTCTTCTTTAGCTCTCACCATCACCACTCACTTCCCTTCATCGTCTTCCCTAAATCGTTGGCCCTCGCCTTCACCACTGAATTACTTTGGTTAACCCTATCGTCGTTCTCGCGACTCAACCACAAAGGACCAAACATGTCTACCAGTCACTCTACTTTTTCAAAATCAATTGGGCAGTATGAATATGGAGAATGGATTTCGGTTAAGCACTGCCAATGTGGCCAATAATTGAAGCTTTTGACGACATGGAAACATGATAACTGTGGGAGAAGGTTTTGGAAATGCGTGGGTAGTGAGGTAATGAAATTCTTTGAACAATGTGTGTTTTTGGTTATTTTGTGACATGATACATCAACACAATTTATTTGCAGAGATGTATGGGGTGTGGTTTCATGGAGTGGTTTGACCCTCCAATGTGCAAGAGGTCACAAAACATTATTCTTGGATTGCTAAAAAAATTGAATGGCTATGAAGAACAAATGCAGACATTGCACATGAAGGTGGAAGAGTTAAAGGCGCATGAAAAGAAGACATACAAAATAAATACAAAATCCCCAAAAATCATTCAGATTGTAACCATTGTAAGAGTTGTTGTGTTTGTAACAATGTACGCGTATATGAAATAGTTGGTGATGTTGTGAGGATTGTATGGTGTGGTTTTATGTAACTTTTATAATGTATGATGTTGTGCCTCGTCAGTGTACTTCAAACATATTTGCAAGAGAATGGATGAATGTTTAAATGTGTTGATAAGGTGTTGATTGTTTAGCATGTGTTTATCAGTGTGGGTGTTATTGTTTGTCAGCATTAGGTACAAATTCAACTGAGTTGTTGATGCAGTAACTACATATGTAAACCAAGCTGATGAAAACTCACTCATGTTTCAATCTAAAGCAACTGAGTTTGACATTCTTACAACAAAAATAGAACATGAAAACAATCAAACATAGATGAAACAACAGATCATATCCATGGCTACAAACAATACATAAGCAATAGCTTGGGTCTGAACCAACAGATCATATCCATACATCATATCCATTTTCTATCCATAACAAAACATAACAGATTAGTGTTCTTTAAATTACATATTACCCAAAAGCTACATCAATTCTAAGGAACCAATAAAACTACTCCAGGTCTATTGGGTCTGCATCATTCCCAAAAAAGATAGACCTGAAGGAGCTTTTGGATCTGGTGTAATAGGTTGGTCTCCTTTTAATCTCCAGCTTTTGAGGTTTGCTTGTTCCTTGTTGTGACTTCAGAGCTTTTGAGGTCTTTGAAGGAGGGGGTGGTCCATAGCTAATCCTGACCCCATGAGGCTTTTTCATACCTATCGGATGCATGCAGTGATCATCACTCTCCTCGGACTCTTCTTCTCCACTATGTTCCTCACTCTCTTTTTCAGGTTCTTGGTGTTCATAACTGCCTTGCTCAGTGTGTTGACTAAACATTGAGAAGTCTTCCAGTGAAACAACCACAGGAAACTCAGTTTCCATTGATGGGGCCTCTTCGAAGTCCATATTGATATCCACAAGATTGTCCTCATAAGACTCTTGAACCCTACTTGATCCATCACCTGTAGCTGCTGCATCAACCCTAGAAGCTCCATCATCTCCATCACCTGTAGCTGCTGCATCAACCCTAGAAGCTCCATCATCTCCATCACCTGTAGCGGCTGCATCAACCCTAGAAGCTCCATCATCTCCATCACCCTGGTTGATATCCATAGTGTGCTTGGTTGTAGATTTTCTTTTTCTTTTCCTTGGTTGCAACTGAATGTTCAAAAAAGAGAAAGAATACATGGTTACACATATGTGTGTAAATACAGAATGCTATTACATAAGAGATAAACCCTAAGGTTATTATGTCTAATATGTGATAATTAACCAGCTTTTCTTTGTTATTAGGATCATCCGGACACCTCCTAACATTATTCCCTTCTTTCTTATACTTCGAACAATGCATCTTAAAGTGTGTTCTTGACACTTTCACACCATCTGTAGTTAGGTGTTTATCAACATCTGACTTCCTCCTTAGCTTCCTTGGTCTTCCAGGTCTGACAGAATACACTGGTGGAAGTGATGGAGTTCTTTCACAAAGAGGCCACTCATCCGACCCTGCCATTGGCTTTATTGACCCACCATATATCTTCAAGTACATATCCTTTGTGTAACATGGGTGCACATAATCATCTACTGGCCCTTTTCCAAACTTCAGCCAAATAGCACACACAGCATGCCCTCAAGGGATGCCAGTTAGGTTCCATTGCCTGCAAGTGCACATTTTCTTCTCCAAATCTACAACATGTTGGGTACCACTCATCCCAGTAATCTCAAAGTCATTATCACCACATTGATAACCTATCAAACCTGCTGCAAACTTCTCAATTTCTTGGATCTTTTTAACTATTCTTGGGCAAAGAGTGGAGGTCCATTTCTTTGCCTTTTCCCTACTTGTAATTTTTTTTTGTTAATAGCAGTTTCCTTATGGATTCAAAGCATACCAAAATGGCCTGTTGTCTTGCATCTAAGATCACACCATTGAAACACTCACATATGTTGTTTGTGAGCATATCAGTTTTGGAGTGTATAGAGAAATGAGACATTGACCATTCTCTAGGATTTTTATCTGTCAGCCACTCAAATGTCTTTTGATCTATTTCCTTTACCTTTGCAAGAGCAGACTTAAATGAATTAACTTTACAAGCTCTAGCACATTCCCACAGAGTGTCTTTGATTGCTTTACCAGCAAACCCAACCACCTTCATGTTCCCATGCAAATGTCTTACACAAAACCTATGCTCAACTTTTGGAAACAGCTCAGTCACAGCTTGAATGAGGCCTTTTTCCTTGTCAGACATGAAAGTTAATAGATGTTCATTGTCTTCTGTGATATCAGCATCTCTTTTTATTAGATTCAAAAACCAAGACCAAGACTCCTTTGTTTCCCTGATGTGAGTTTTCTCGCATTTAAAAAGATTGTAGAATAGTGGTGAAAGTACGAGTATCGTCTCCACAGGGACGGGCAAAAGGGAATTAAAGATCAACTAAATTCAGAGATTAAAAAGAAATAAAATTAAATAAATGCGTCGTGCGAGATTGATTGGTTGAATTGAAATTAAACTAATGCGAATGAGCGAATAAAAGTAAAGATTTGGGTTCTTCTTAATTAACGACAAAGGGAACATGGATTGATTCCAGGGTAATCAGATTTCTGGCAGATCAGGCTTAATTACATGAATTTAATTTAATTGAGCCTAGCTAATCAATACTAAGTTCTTACCGCTCTCGCGGCGTAGAGTACAATAATTTAGGGGACCAGGCTGATCTCTCATGCGACAGGATCCTAAATTATTGCCAAGACGAACGAGTTTACGGCCCCTTAATCGCTACTAATCTCTTAGCGAACGATTAAGTGTGTGTGAATGTGTCCTAGAATAAACTAGATCTCTCTTAATTTATTCTATGTGCAATTGTAATTCTAGCTGCGGTTCCAGATTACAAAAGATAACAGTTAAATTATTCAAACACAAATTAAATGGCATTAATGTAATCAAACCATCAAGAAACTAGCCATACATCATGATAAACCCCTTCATCAACCCCAAATCCCTAATTAAAACTACTCGCAATTCATAATTGAAGAATCAACGGAATTGGGAAGAATAGAATTAATTGTCATTAATAAAAAAATAGGAACTTACAAAAAATGTTAAGGAATTGAAAAACCTTGCTGAAAAGCTCTTTAATTTTCGTCCTTAATCAGCTCTCTAAAGTCCACCCCCCCTCATTAGGGTTATGGGGGTGTTATTTAAAGGAAAGGGTGGAATTTGGGTAGAATTAGGACAAAACGGGGTCAGGCACGGCGCCAGGCACGACCGTGCCTGCGACCGTGCCTGCGGAAGCATCCCGTTTAAACGCATCCAGGCACGGCGTGCCTAACTGCCAGGCACGACCGTGCCTGGCCTCCAGTACCTTGTTCCTCGTTTCTCTTCAGGCACGGCGTGCCTGGGTTCCAGTAGCTCATCCGCTTCATTCCTAGGCACGCACGGTGTGCCTAACACCGGGCATGACCGTGTGTGACCTTATTCTTCACTTTTTCTTCGTTTTCTTGTTCCAAACGCTCTCGGATGTACGAGGTCAATCCAAATACTCGCTCTTCATCAGAATTTCGTCGTGAATCTCCCGATGACCTCCAAATCTCTCAAATCTTTTTCGAATGCCTTCAAATCCTTCATGAATGTCTCTCAAGTGTTGATTGTCGGACTCTAACTTCTTCAATTCAACTCCAAATGCAAAGAAACTCGACCCAACGCCTGATAATCGCAACTTGAGCTAAAATTGAGACTTGTAACACCTTAAAGCTAGGAAAACCATCCAAATCCAACCCGAACACGCATCAAATGTGTGTCTAAATACGGACTTATTAGACTCCCCCACACTTAAGCTTTTGCTTGTCCTCAAGCAAATCGAACAACGGGACTTACGATAATCACCACATGGAATTTAAAACAGTTAGCATGCACACATAGTTAAAAGGATATTCACAGAACATACAATCTAAATCAAGAAAATTCTTCCCTAAACTACATCTTTGTACTCAAGCTAAACTATTTGACGAAGTACTCACAACATCCTTGAAGTAATTACACCATAACACAAATAAACTAATTATTGATCAGAAGGACTTGTGAAAGTGATGGTGAATAATGAAAGACAACCCCTTTCTTTTGATAGATTGGAATATTCTAACAAAGACTCGATGCATTCAGGAACTTCAGGGCTATTCTTAGGAACAAGGAACTCAGAAGGACACAATTTTAGGAACAATCATCTAAACTTATGCAAAGAGCAGGCATAGTGTACAACTAAGCTAAACCACCGCGGCACATTGGTGCTTTGACGTATACTTGAAGTACGCGGAGGACTAAAGCTAATTTTGCTAAAGCCTCCAAGTTCATTAATTAAGTGTAGTTTTCCTTGTCATGTTGGCACGAGAACGCCATTTCTTTCGAAAGATACCCAAGGTTTCATCTTATTGTGCAAAACACTTACGCTTTTTGACCCGGGCTCCCATTCTCTTTTTCGCAAGGTAAGAGGTCTAGCTATATTAATTTTTCACCTTTCGGATTCTTACTAGACATTACCCCATTCTAATTTCGGCCTCACCAAGGAAAAATAGCAATTAAAGTTCATTTATTAATGTGAATCCATGCCTACAATGCAACTCTCGAAAGTATCCAATTCCTAAAAGTTGACTGCTCTTACCCCACTTTGGGGCATAGGAACAGTGCCAAAAATGGCTCCTACACAAATTCCCTAAACTTAACAAATTAATCCCCTAGTTCCCTAAATGTCAAGGCTAAGTCAGAAATATTCACGGGTAAGGAACACAGGCCATTTGGTTATGGAGTTCAATTGATTGGGTAAGGAACAAAATGGTCAGGCTCAAAGTGGCTTTTCCTAAAGGACTTTTTCAGGTGAGATGGAAAAATTATGAATTAAATGGGTGACTAATGCCTTCATCCTTTCAACAATTAGATTATATTGCAAGCAATTTAAGCCTAAACACTTCAAGGGTGTCCTAAAAGCACAGTCAATCGTTAGCCAGCTCACAAAGACACGGTTTAAAGAAACAAATTCAAAAATTTGACATGAATTTCCTATGAATATACAACTAACACTTGCGCATGCTAATTCTAAAAATCACATGTAACAACTACTGTCCGAATGCCCAATTCGCTCCCCTACACTTGAACTTTGGCATCGCCCTCGATGACCAAATATGCACTATGCACAAGGGGTAAAGAGGAAAGGATCACGCGTGCTCAATCTTAACTCAAGTCAACATTACACATAGGCAATTATAAGAGTCGCAGAAACTTCCCTAGGACGCTGGTCGGTGCAGAACTAAACTGAGTCTAAGTGATACTCGGCACATCATCCCCAAAGCAAGACCCTGAGATGCAAAAACAAAACACACAAAACACACAAAACAAATAAAACAACAACAAATGCAGAAGTAAGCTCGGGTTGCCTCCCGAGAAGCGCTATTTTTAACGTCGTTTGCCCGACGCAACTAACCCACGAGATTCTCAATTAAATACACGTCCATTTAGAAAAGTTGTCCTCCACATATCAAACCTCTTGTCAACAAATGCCCTCAGATGGCGCAAAACTTGGAATTCATGAAACCACAAATTTAATGGAGGATCACAACAATAACAAAAGGGCGGTTCCAAGCCTTTATCAGGCCCTTTATCAAAGAATTGACCAAAAGTGATCTCTTTAAGAGGTGGGGGTTTTCCTCCCTCTTCTCCGGGTGGTTCCATGACATCTAACACATAACACTCATCTACAACTTGACAGGACTGTTTTGTCAGTTTGGCCATGCAAAAAGTAACTCTCTCCTCCCCAACTCTCAATATCAATTTCCCTTCCCCAACATCTATGAGGGCCCGAGCAGTGGCTAGAAAAGGCCTTCCAAGAATTAAGGGCACTGCACATCAAGATATTGGGGCATATCTAGGACAACAAAATCGACCGGAATCACAAATTTGTCCACTTTAACCAACACATCTTCAGCAATCCCCTGGGGATATTTGACCGATCGGTCAGCCAGCTGTATGCACATACGTGTTGGTTTAAGCGGACCGAGTGCAAGCTTCTCATACAAGGTATAGGGCATCAAATTGATGCTTGCACCCAAATCAGCTAAAGCATTATAAAAAATCTCACTTCCTATGGAGCAAGGGATAGTGAACTTACCTGGG